TACATATAATTCACGATAATGAATAAAATATTTTCAAAGTAAATAAGTTCAATTGAAAAAATGTTGATTATGATAAGAAAGATTATTAATAAAAAATATTCTATTCCATTGTCCATTCAAACATTGATATTCACCTGATAAACATATCCATTGTTGATAATTATTAGGTGATTCACCAATTTTTGAATCAATATCCAACAATATATGACAATAATAAATATATGGAATAATAGAATAGTTACAAAGTATAACATATATCGAATTGACATCTTACACAAGATATTCATGTATCAACATCAAATGGATCAAAATTCTAATTCGTATCATATAATATTTGATTTGTATAGAATTATTTAACTAAATAATATGCTGATTAATTATTTGAACAATGAGAAAGATGTTTATTAGTCAATCTATAGGTTTATCAAGTAAACGAGAGATTCATATAGATTATTTTCTAATTTCACATACATCATCATCAACGCGCATAAGCTTTCCCATAAAATCTATATGGATCATGATAACAATTCAAATTAGAATCAGATGAATATCATGTTCGATTTTGACATTGAAATATTTCAATATTTACATTGATTGTTGAATATCCATACTCACGTTCGTATGAAACAAACTTGCCGAATATGTTTGAAGTTTTACATTCACATATTATTCCATAATTTTTATATAAATAATCATGTAAAAATGCTGCATACTGATCAGCTATTTCAATAGTTGAACTCTAATGAAGTACTTCGTTGGCACTAATATTTGTTTTGACGTAAAGCAGAGAAACGATGCTTTTCGCAATTACGAGAACATGTTTGATTCGTTCGATTTATTTTAATAGGATGTTCTTCTCAACGACCAAACGGCACAAGTAAATCTCTATCTTCTCTCTAATAATAAAACAATCAAATACTTGAACATCTATTACATCTTCCGTATTATATAGATAAACAACTGCTTCCAATGGAAATAGAAACAATATTCTTGTTAGAATTAACCAAATAATCATTTGCAATTTCTACATGATTTTTTCTAGAAAAATAAAAATTTAAATTCACATTTTTTGCATAAGATTTATTTTAAATATTGAAATACCTATGAAAATGAGAAATTTTATAGAAAATACATTTTTCATTTAAATTGTTTTACAAAATCTAAGTCAAACAATAATAATGACTATTCTTTATAGTGGCATCTTTAGTTATATTCCAACTCGAAAACTCAGCAAAATTAGGCGACGCGATTAGTAACCAATGGCTTCAACACGTTTACATGTATAAGGAGGCGTGATTTCCACTAAAATTTCACAATTTTTCAAGATTTAAAAAATATTTGTTCAGTTAGAAATGAAATAATATGAGGAAAAATGACCGCAGTTAACTGACGTTTTGGTAGCGGTTTGCACGACATGGGTCCACACCCGCACCCTCACGGATCCTAGTCGGATTTGTGTTATTCGACACAAAAAAATTCGAGCGATGGAGCTGCTATACTCTTATATAATCCGACAGGCTCCGATGTATTCGTTTTACTTTAGGTTAAAAAAAGAAAAGTAGTTATTTCCTCTTAATCAACATTTTGTCAACTTGAATTCAAATGAAAAATATCTTTTTACATGATACTTCGCAATTAATTCAGTTGAATTTACTTAAAAAGAAACTGAAAGATAATTTTCTTTTTCATTAGAAACAAAGAAATTCTGACTTTTCATCATACGACTTTTCCTGTTTGGTTCATTATAGTCTTATTAGTGAAACTGTTAGTATCAATATTTTTCTTACTCTTAAAATATTTCACCAAAGTTTATATTGATTTTATCTTATGATTATATCTGTATTTAATTTCATTCGATTAGTTTTATTTATTATTGTCAAATAAGAAATGTTATTGTTGAAACATGTCTTATCAGTGCTACGACAATGTTATGTTTAGCAATCATTGATCAATATTTTGCTACCTGCAAACATTTACGATGGTGACAATGGTCAAATATTAAATTAGCTCATCCTCTTATACTGATTATTTCTATTATTTGGACATGACATGGAGTAGTATATATGATATATTTACAGCAAATATCATCAATCAATATAGCTGTTTATATTTCAGTTGATCCGATTTTACTTCAATATCATATCTATAGATATTTTCTTACAATGAATAATCTCTTCCCATTAGTTTCAGTTATATTTAAAATTCCAGCTTATCGTAATGCTCGAATATTAACAACACGAATAAATTCACTTATTCGACGCGAAATAGATAAACAATTAACACTAATAGTTCTTGTCGAAATTTGTGTTTTTGTTTGTATTTATTTACCTTATTCAGTTAAAATCGTGATCCTATTATTCTTGCTCAACACGATCTAGTCAGTGCTAGTACACTTACTGTCAATATTTTGACGAATGAGGTAAGTCACGCTCATTTAGAAGGTATACGGATATTTTATGGAATTTGTTTTAGAGATTCGTTTTATGCATATATCTGTGTATGAAAATGATTTCGTCAACAAGCAAAATATGTTTTGTATGATGTTTATATGGATCGATTTCGATAAAATCGTATCAATCCAGATCAAATAACAAATGAAATCGTGACTGACAACATATAATTAATTTCATTTGAATTCTTTCTTTTTATTTCAATAAATTTGCTTGAATTCTATATAAACGTCATTCAGTAACCCACAGAAATGTTGAGATCATAGCGGCTCTCTCATTCACCCTAATAAAACATAGAAAGTCGCTCCATAGTTTGAGAGTGTCGGATCTTAATTTGATTTTTGCATTTTGTGTTGTGCATACAATATAAAAGAATGTAACAGTTATTGCCTATACTTTTTTTGAACAGATTTTGGCTGATATATTGAAATAAAGATATTTTTCATTTTAGAAAAAAATTCTCGTTTTATAAATTTTCCAGCTACCGCCGCCGATCGGCTCATCGACTTACACCCCTAGTTACTTATCAATGTACTATTTTACCGAAATAAACTAAAATATACTGAACAAGAAAAATTACTTACTCAACGAAAAATAATTAAATACTAAGTTTTTTAGAATTGATTACTGTGCAATTCGAATTATATATCACGCAGAAAATAGTATTTCACTGAGCAAAACATATTGAACATAAGATGGAAAAAATACTGAGCAAAAATATATGCCTTTTTTAAATTAAAATTTAATAATAATAAGAAAGATAGCGGTACTATCAATACGGTAAAATCAGAATGAACAGTAGTTTTTTAATATTAAGTAACACAGTGCATGTATTTCATTTATTTTTATTTAATCCTGTTTATACCGTTTCACAAGTGATAATACCGATTTTTATTAGATTTTTAATAAAAACTAAAAATAACTAATAAAAAAAAAGAAAAATTAGAAGAACTACACTAGAATGCTTATTATCTGTTCAAGAATCGTATATATTGATGATTTCCAAATGATACATTCAATAATAAGCAAAAGTAAAATAAACTGAAAAGTTTCTTTGTTTTTTTGTAAGTTAATTGATTTCTAAATTACCGTATTTGTTCTCTTTGTTATTTATTTTAATAGACTCGATACATAGCTGCATATGTTGAGAATTTGCTTTTCATTAAATAACCAAGAGAAATGGCTATCCCCATACATTTGAAATAATTGGATATATTCATGATTCACTAGTGTGTCAAGATTATTAAATGATGTATTGGTATAGTATGAAAATAATTCTAACTGATCGTTCAATGTAAAGTTTTCATCCACCTTGTTAGCTTTAAATAATACAATATTTGTATTTCTGTTGATTATATTTAATCCATATGGTTCATTGTCTATCATCGGTAAATAAGAATAGTTTATTGTATTGATAATATCCACTTTATCTATTTTGCCAATTTCAAAAGAAGCCTTGCGTACATTAAAGAACGAGTCGATCATAAAAATATTACCAACTTTCTCGCCAGTATTAATCAACTGACGAGAAAGTTCAAACGACAAAATGCCGCCAAAACTCCAGCCTAGAAAGTTATACGGACCATCATGTTGGATTTCTTTTATATACTTTATGTATACAGGAGCTAATGTCTCAAACGAGAAGCCTTTTTCCATATTTTTTGCACAAAGATCAAGATAGTAATTGTTGAATATTACCAGTTTATATTGCGATAGATGAGGCACAATGTTGTTGAAGTAGCTTTCGGCACCGCCGTCACCGGGCGGCAAAATGAACAAAATATTATCACAACTTTCATTGATCACAACAAACGGATGTTCGAAAAAACTCGAATAGGTAGCAGTTTCATGTGAAATTTGAACTTGTTCATCAAGAAAAATGCCCTCTTGAACAAAAGAAGTAATGTCTACAAGAAAAATCAGTGGGTTTATATAGTATTTGATGAATGTTTCTTAACCCTCGGTTGATGTTGTGGGGTCCAAGAAGACCCACTTTGCAGCTTTTTACCAAATTCTCCCTTAAGAGTTTCTGTTTTCGATCGGTTCTCACATCTAATCTCTAATCTTTTGTTGGTACACACTAAACATATGACAAATCATGAGTAGGCCCAACGCAGAAAAAATGCAGCTACGGGTCCTTGTGGACCCCACGACAACTATGGTGCTATAGTCTTATTTTATATGGTAATATTGGTGCTATTTGTTCTCACGCAGTGTTGTTTCCTTTCTAACGATTTATTTCGATTGATTTTTATCTTCGCTACTTATAATAATGACTCATATTTAGTAAAAAGAGTGTGATATCTGTCACTCTCAGCTTATGTCAATATCATTTTCAAAAGATTCTGCTCAAATCTTATTCGTACTACGGAGCCCTCTTACAGTGCTTAGCACAAATGCGTTCATATCCTAATAAGACTGAGGCATCTATATGTTTATAATATACAAATGAAAAGCTTTAATGACGCTAAAACTTCGTTTTTTTATGAGCGGGTCCAGATGGACCCCGAAACAACCACGAAGTTAAAAAATGAGAACATCCACGAAGGATTAATTTAAAAATGTTTTACCTTGATTGATATTTAGTGTCTGCCATTGTGTTGTCTGCGTATCGTTGGATGGAAGTGCTTGAAGTAGTTGTGCATGTTGTCGAATAGTTGGTTGCTGAAGAAAGAGACCAATTGAGAGTGAATGAACATCGAAATTGAATAACAATTGATAACGATAATAGAGTTCAATAAATAAAAGTGAATGGCCACCAACACTAAAAAAACTAGTAGTTCTGGAAATATGATTTTCATTAGAATGAAGAACTTGACGCCAAATAGTGAGTAGCTGTTCTTCGAATTGATTAAGAGGAGTATCAGATTTATCGGAAGATAACCAAGGCGATGAAGAAAAGTCAGGTGAAGGAAGTTGCTTTCTGTCTACTTTTCCATTTGGATTCAAAGGTAGCTTCTCAAGTATAATAAAGAAAGATGGAATCATATGTGGTGGAAGATGAGATTCACAATGTTGACTTAGTTGTTCTTCATTGTTATGAGAAGAAGATTGAACATAAGCAACTAAGTAATCATTATTCCATTTCAAGACAACACATGCAGAGATAGATGTAACGTTAAGTAAACATCGTTCGATTTCACCAAGTTCAATTCGTTGTCCATGTAGTTTTATCTGATGATCTTTTCTTCCTTGATAATGAAGAAGACCATTGCTATCCATTCTAACAAGATCACCTGTTCGATAGAATAATTCCCCATCTATTTCAATAAGAACTTTTGCTGTTAAATCATCACGTCCAAGATAACCAACAAAGACACCCACGCCTCCTATACACAGTTCACCTTCTTCGTCGGTAACAGATGACTGTGAATATTGATTGATAACCATACATCGGTAATTAGAAAGTGGTCTACCAATTGAAACGCTTCGTGTATCCTCGATTAGATCTATTCTGTGGAAGGTAGAAACTATGGTTGTTTCAGCTGGACCGTACAAATTCCACACAATACAGTTGGTTATGCCAGTTTTCACGACCAAGTCGATCAAATGAACAACAAAAGCTTCACCTAAAATGAAGAAAACGTAGTATAATGAAAGAGCGAGTGTCGTTTCTGGTCACACACCGATACTACAAAGTGATCGCAGGTATTTTACGGCATTTGTGTTCTTGTTCTGCACAATAAAAACGAAAAAACTGTGTAGAAAACTTGGTACAGTATGTAGATATGTGATTTGTTTGTTCTGTAACACTTCGGATAAATACTTGAAATCAATAGTTCCACCTGAATGAAGCATAATCAATGTGCTTCCAACCAATAATGTGCCAAGTATTTCTTGAACATGAATATCAAATGAACATCGTGTCATTTGTACAACTGTATCATCTCTATTAAATGAGTTAATATAAGTCAAAGAATGCATACACTGAATAAAGTTCTTATGTCGAACTTGGACCTATGAAAGAGCATCAAAATAAATGAGATATTTGAGATTGAAGTGAAAACGAACCGCTTTAGGTGTTCCAGTCGAACCACTTGTAAAAATGATATAAGCCAGATCATCAAGTGTGACTCTTATACTTGATAGTTGATCAATATCAATATTCCTTTCCATATTATTAACAATCAATATTGAATCAATGTTAGGTAAGGCAATATTATGATCGAATTTGGTTTTAGTCAGATCATGAACGAGAACAAGACGACTTTGAGTTTGTTGTACAAGAGTATGTAAACGATGTGGTGGATCTCGAGGTGATAATGGACAATAAACACCACCAGCCATTTCA